CACACCACAGCTCCCTTGGGAGAGTGACGGGTCACTCTCATGTAACCCCGTTACAACATGTAAGCTGATAACCATTCCCAGAGACTTGTTTAGACTCGTACCAGATATTGGCTAAGTAACTTGTGTGGAATGTTGCATTGTTGCAGTATCTTGAGGTACCCTTAGAGCTCTGCTCTGTATTGCAGCCCTAACGCAGAGGGTAACTCAGCTACATGGGATGTTGTACGCTGCTTCGTCGTCAACAGAGCGCTTGAATTCCATCTAGCTTAAAGTAATCTTGTTGTACTTAATACGTTATTGCGTGAAGCAAAAGAAGCAATCGTTCCGTTTCGGATTTTAATAGTGTAACGCAATATTTTCTCGCTAGCCCCAATAGCACTCTGATGTAGTATGGACGCAGCTTGTTCTTGGTGACCGCGGACACTGCATCTGGAATGAGTAACAGTGTTGGATGAAAGCTTGTGTACTCCACAATTAATCCGTGTTTTGACTGTCTTTACCGGAGCATGTTCCTTTTCACATCTATGTACTCTGCTACAGCGTTAATTCCAGCGCTATGCGCCAGAACTCATTGAGATGGAGTATCAGACGTTTCATCTATTTTAAGCAATTTTGTGATGGTGTAATGGAGACTCGGTGAAATGAAACAATTGATGTATGGTGAGATTGAGGCATGCAAACCGGTATATAGCGCAAAATCAATGGGTGGCAAATCACTTTAACATCCCGTCTTTCCGCACAGTTTTTCGCCGACGTCTTTCACCAAGCGATATACCTGTTTATGGTGTGTTTACGGAATCTCATCAGCTGACATGTCTAATCTGGTTCGTAATCCCATGAACAAAATTCGCAGATCGCTATAAAATTCAATTACCACGGTAATCCATTTGCCGGATATAACTCTGACTATATCATCACGAGCAATCCATTTTTAAAAGTATATCTAAGCTGTATTCTCACAAGGTCTTAAATGCCCTCACTGGCTGCAGGATTGCTGAAATGATCCATCTAGCTCAGACGGTCCGTCCACAAAGAATACTTTGCCTGTGTTGCCGAATGCGTCTTTTAAATAACGAAGATAAATTCAAACTGTCATCACTTATCTAGAACCTGCAGGGTGGCCAGTAGCCCCGACGCATGCAGCTAGTGTTTAAACGGTTGACAAGTTTTACGTAAATATGTGCTTACCCACTTTTACAGGTTTCGGCCACCAATACATAGCGCTCACAGAGTATGCCTTCTCTCTCTCTCGATGCAGCCATCCAATTGAATATAATGTGTCTCAGTGAGCATTTTGTATGTAGATTCTTAATCATACGACCCAATTAAACTTTAAATGTCGTGTGGGCTAGTGTTGAGATACAGCTTGTCTTTGAACACGGCATATCGGTATATTTTCTTAACTTAGGGTTTGTGATCAAAAATATCTAGCACGCAACTCAATTTGCGTATTACCTATTGGCATAAGCTGAACGTATCGCCTCATCAACTGGTAGTGTCACCGTCGTGGCTTGCAGTAACTCATTGTCAGGTCATTAGGAAAAACGCATTTGCCACCTCATCAAAACTTTCAACTTATACCTTGCCTCAAAGGTATACTCCGTAAGGAAGGATAACTATCTGGCATTTGTCGGTAAGAGGTTTGATGAATACGTCATTGTGAGCCATTTCGAGGAACTACCACTCCGATCTCGTGTATGGAACCAACCATGGTACTCTTCATGGTGCTATAACATGCCATTACCCACGGTATCGCCATAGTAGTGCTTTGGCAGATGTATTTTTACTTCACCATAAAGGAACAATATCTAGCGAACATATGATACATTTGAAAACCAAGTACAAGAACAAGAACAAGGAGAGAGACAAAACTAGGAATGAGAACAGGAACATTTATGCCGAGCCGCAACAATCCAACATCATGCTGCTTGACAAAGGATAATTTTTCTCTTTTTGAATCCTTACTTCTGCCGGACGCCTCGGTCTCTACAATACGTAAGTATGAGGTGCGAGCGATGGGAAGACATTGACGAAGGTTACAACTGAGCTGTTAGCAGGATACGTATTGTAAGCTATCCTGACATTATTCAGAAGGCTTTTACCGATCTTCGACTTGTGGATCTAATTGATCAGTAGACTAATTGTCACCGGCATATGCCATGTCTGTGAAATTGCTCCGAGGATCGAAATGTGATCATGTTCTTTAGTGCTTTACAGTACAACGTCACCGTCTTCTAACTGATTCAAAATGGCAGTGGCGCGATCAATTTACGTGATTTCTTACCTTATATCAAGATCGTACGAACAACGAAATCAACAATTTAATCGAGAAACAATGTCGGCATCCTAGACCGTCATCAGCTCTCTTCAAGTGAATCACAATCATCATTTTATATTTACTCATCTGTTACATTGTAATCTAAGCTTACATAGTTTATGTCGGATGACAGTGGGTTAGTTGTTTTACTTACTGTTTGCCTTGTCCGAGCTGGTCGACTTAGTCTCTTTTAACGGCTTCGAAGTTGATGCCGATTTACTGTCTTTGTCAACTGA